GTTTAGAAAATAAACATCTCAGTTTCTCTGATACTCACTCAACATACGGAATGACCACTGGTCGGGGTCTGGGTTCCTCCTTTTCACCTGATGGCTGACTGGAGTCCTGTTTGGGTTTCTTCTCTGCTTTCAGGAAGGCCCAGTTAGGATATCCACATTGCTCTAGAGCCTGTCTTGTGTAGGATTTCTCCTTCTGCCTGGCTCCTGAGCTAGTGGGGACGCTGTCTGCTCTGTGATACAGAGTCCTGATGACTCCTAACTTGTGCTCCAAAGGGTGATGGGAGTCAAACTGCAAATACTGGTCTGTGTGGGTGGGTTTGCGGTACACCTCAGTTTGCAAATGTCCTCTATCAGAGACTGAGACCTCACAGTCCAAGAAAGCCAACCTGCCATTTTTTTCATCTTCTCGTGTGAACTTGATGTATTTATCCACAGAGTTGATGTGGTCAGTAAAATGTTGGACTTCCTGAGATTTAATTTTAACCCAGGTGTCGTCAACATACCTGAACCAATGACTTGGTGGTGTCCCTGAAAAAGACGTCAAGGCTCTCTTTTCTACCTCCTCCATGTACAGGTTGGCAACAATAGGAGAAACTGGAGACCCCACAGCACACCCATGTTTCTGCCTATAATATTGCTCCTCATATGTGAAGTAGGTTGACTGCAGGCACAGTTTCAAGAGTTGACACAGTTGTTCTGTGGAAAGCGTGGTCCTGCTGCTCAGAGTGGTGTCTGATTTTAATCTTAAACTGACCACCTCTACTGCATCATCAACAGGAATGCACATAAAGAGTGATGTGACGTCAGAAGAGACCATTGTTTCATCAGTCTCCATGATGACATCCCTCACCTTATCTACAAAGTCCATGGTGTTCTGTATGTGGTGTTCTGAGCTGCCAACTAAAGGGATGAGTACAGACACCAGATATTTGGCTTTTAAACCCCAAAATACATTACGGCAAAGACTGGTTCATCCCAAAGATCCAGTCCCCCTGCACAAACAGAGTAATATTGTGTATGTTGTTCAGTGTCAGGAGGGCTGTGATCAGTCTTACATCGGGGAAACAAAACAGCCACTGGCCAAAAGGATGGACCAGCACAGAAGATCAACATCATCAGGCCAGGACTCAGAAGTCTACACTCATCTCCAGGCCAGCGGTCACTCTTTCAGGGATGAAGATGTTCACATCCTGGACAGAGAGGAACGATGGTTTGAGAGAGGAGTAAAGGAGGCCATCTTTGTGAAAAGAAATCGTCCATCATTAAACAGAGGTGGAGCCTCCAGGTTCAACTGTCCCCCTCTTACAATGCTGTGATTGCTAGTATCACTCAGCCCTCTGTGAATAGTAAACAGCCATCAGGTGCTAATGATCCATTGTTAGGCTGATGGTCCTTCTTGAGCATGTGATCAGCTGGTTTTGGTTGTCAGCAGCAAACTGGTTGATCCACTCTGAGAAGGTGCTATTTAAGAGACTGAGCTGAAAACAGCACCTCAGACTGAGGAAGTCTCTTGGATGAAAGTCGAAACGTATCTAAATTTTTTTGTTGTTTTGCTGTGTTTTGTTTTTTGAATGTCCAGAGGACCAGATTTAACTTTTTTTGATTTTTCTACCTGGATTATTGAGCATGCATCAGGATTTGTGTCAAGCTGTTTGAAAGTATAGTTTTCTCAAATGATTGGGGGGGGGGGGGGGTTTATATGAATTTATGGTGCCCAAGGCCACATTCGATGAGCTGTTGGTGCTGTGTCAGGCTGCCAGGAGTTAAGTAAACTTTGGGACTGACTTCATGCACTAATCAGGTGGACAGACTTATTCAGGAGCTTTGGCACCATCAGATTCTGCTCATATTTACAACTGTGTAGAAAAATAAAAGATTCTCACAGTATTCTGGCATACAATAAATATCAATATTTCTGGAAATCCCAGTTGACCCAACAGGAAAAGTTTAGCCAGAATAAATGTCAGAGAGTAAGATAAAAAACAAAACAAAACATATTTTTATACAGTGAATAGAAACTTTTAGAAAATTTTAGATGTTTTTTTGTCAAAGTTTCCTTAAAAAGTCAACAGTTTGAAGACTTTTTAAAATGAAAATATACCAGAACATGTGAATAGTAAGTTCATTGAAGCACCCCAACAATTTTCAGTCAGGTTATCTGGACAGTTTCTTTTTTTTTTTTTTTTTGTGCTGAAATGTTTCACCTTCCACCCAGAAGTCTTCATCAGTCAAGGAAACACACAACACAAAACTGATTCTTCCCCCAATCAGCTTACTCCAAAGTGGAACAAACCAGTTATGTTGGTGCTTAGATGGTGTCTTTGGCACACCCCCTCTTTTGGTGCTGGTTCCTCTTTGTAGTAGGCTGGAAGGTGAAATGTTTCAGCACAAAAAAAAAAGAAACTGTCCAGATGACCAGACTGAAAATTGTTGGATTGTATACCTGGATTATTGAGCATGGACTTTGTTGGTTCATAGAAGCACCTTTCCTCCAAACACAATTTCAAGCAAGTTTTACTTTTTTTAACACGTCTAAGTAATTTAAAAAAAATCACTTAAAATCCAAGTCACTCATCTTCCTGTTACAAACACAGGGCATAATTATCCTAACACAAACCCTTTGTTGAAGTATATTTGTGTATGGCAGTTTTACAGCTCCTAGGACTGATTTCTGATTTCCTTTGTGTGTTTCCACAGGAGCTGACATCACCTCGCTTGATAAAAAGCCATCTTCCATACCGGTTTCTTCCTAAAGCCATGCACCATGGAGAGGCCAAGGTCACTTCATTTAGACTTAGTTACAACATTTATCACTCTGAAAACTAGTGTACAAAAATTGATGAGAACATTTTTAAAGTACAGTATGTACAGTGTTTATCTCCCAAATTGCAGTCTTTACCTTGAGAATGATATATGAGAGAACTCTTGAAGATCAGCAGACAGTTTTTCTCTGTTTTATTGACTATTTCAAAACTTTCAACAAAGTCCTGCATTTCAATATTGATGGCAAGGACAACAATAATCTGTACTGGAAGCAGAAAGTCACTGTCAGGATTGATGATAAGCTAACTGATTGGAATAACTTTCAGAGAGACGTTGGTCAGGGCTGTAGCGGCCAGATTTCTTCAACCTTTAAAGAGAATCATTCTCCACATGATGGACAATCTGGATGGTGTGAAATTTGTGGGGTCAACATTAACCACTTTTTATAAGCTGATGACACAGTGCTTTTAGCAACATCTGCAGAAGTCTCACAGACTGTCCTTGACAATGCTGTGGAATCCAGTGCAGAAACGGGGCTCTCAGTTAACGAGACAAAGCCTAAAGCAAAGACAATCAGTAAGACCAAGATGTTGTCACTTGAAAATTGGTAGTGAAGAAATAAAAAAGCAAAGTTTTAAATAATTAGGCAGTTTAATCACATTTGATTAAAAGCATAAAACTAAAATTCCAAAAAGAATTGCCATCGAAAAAAGAAATTTCAAGACATGCGCTCTATTTTTATCAACAGAAACCCATCATGAATTAAACTTAAAGTTAGGCTGCTCAAGAGCTACATATGGTCCTTCTTGACATATTGTGAGACCTGGACTCTCTCAGCTGATCTCATGAAGAACATTCATCACTTGCTCTTGCCGAGTCTGACATTTTACCCTCTTCTCCCTCTCCGCTGTGCTTTGCTGCTCTGTCTGTCTGTGAAACTGCTTCTGAGCCTCTCTTTCATATCCTTCGAACCATAAGTATGGACTTGTTTTGATCAGTTGGTCCCTCATCACAATTGATAACATTTCTTTGAAGTGAAGACAGGCTTTAGACGAGCCGAGTTGCCATGTTGGCACACACGCAGCTGGATATCTCATCGACTTGAAGACTTGATGATGTGTCTATCTCTGCTGCCATTTGTGGATTTTAAGGACACATTTATGATTGGATTTATGATAACTGGTTCCTGCTTTTTGGATTCGACTGGTTGCTGGTTTTATCTACAATCAAGGAAGTCATCGGCAGCAAATTTGGACCCGATCACGCTGCTTGCCTTTATGATGGTTTGGTTCGTGCCTCGAGTACCCAGATTCAAATGCTTTGGGCAGAATGGATCAGATCATGGGGATTTTATTCAGTCACTGTGTGGCCATGTATTTTGGACATTTCAGAACCATTTGGACCAACACAGACTCAAGGTAGATGTCATTAAGTTCTGCCTGTTCCCAAAACAACTGTGTGTTTATCTGAATTTGGCTCCCCTGGCTGGCCTTGAAGGCCATCTTATCTGAATTTGCCTGGAGAACATGTAATATGATGCTCTGCCCCACCCCTCCCCCTACCATCAAGGAATTTCCAACTGATAACCAGAGGAAACCAGCTGAATAAACTTTGTGTCATCATTTCAGGACTCTTGGATTCCCATAGGCGTTGCCCTTGGCCATTCCTCGACATACCTTGAGAATGTTTACGGATCTCATCGGAGGAAACTGGATGATTATTACATCCTTATCAGAACTCTTACAGTGTCCTCGAGTGCATCCTTGAACATTGCTTACCACTCTCGTCGTCTCGCCCCCTCTGCGGAATGTCTATATCACTATGTGCTTTATGTGCGAGGTGTTTTTTTAATATTAGAGTTTTTCTTCTCAGCCAAGAAGAAAAAGTTTAATAGGAATTTTTTTGCCTCCAATTCCTACGTGTTCCAGTTTCACTACTTTTTGTCTGTCTAAACAGGTCTCACTTGTAAAAGAGTCTTCGGGGCTCAATGTGACTTATCTGTCTAAATAAAGGTTGAATGAAAAAAATGCTGCTGATCTATGGATTCTGAGTTATCAACTAGACAAGGTTGTCCACTGATGCATGTAGACACACATACCTAACAAACAAGCAAGGTTTATTTCTAGACTTTTCTGGCATTTAGGATCACCAGCAGTAGCATAGCTTATTATTTCAACAATGGGGCCTTGATGTCAGTCCATCGTCATTTTATAGAACTGTTTAAACCAACATTACACAGAACTCAGTTCTGATCCTTTACTAAGACAACTATTGTTTGGGTTCTAAGGTGATCTACATGGCCAGAAACCCCAAAGACCTGGTGGTGTCCTACTACCAGTTCCACCGTTCTCTCAGGACCATGAGCTACCGTGGAACCTTTCAGGAGTTCTGCCGGCGCTTCATGAATGACAAGCGTAACTATGTAGTTTACTAAGAGGTCTGATGCTTTTCATTAGTAAGCTGTGATTCTTGTTGTTTAGTCCATCTCTCTATTTTTTCTTTCACAGTGGGATATGGTTCCTGGTTTGAGCACGTTCAGGAATTTTGGGAGCACCGTGATGACTTGAATGTTCTGTTCTTGAAATACGAAGACATGTACAAGGTAAAATGACTGTCTTCATAATCACTGTCTGAGCTTTCCTTGTATTTTTCCTTATTGTTGTCTGCCAGCGAAAGGTTAAGAAGGAGGGATAATGTCTTTGACAGTGTCCAAAAAAGTTCAATCTGGTCCTTCTGGACATTCAAAAAAAAAAAAAAACAAAGCAAAAAAATGTAGAAACGTTTCGTCTTTCATCCGAGAGACTTCCTCAGTCTGAGGTGCTGTTTTCAGCTCAGTCTCTTAAATAGCACCTTATCAGAGTGGATCAACCAGTTTGCTGCTGACAACCAAAACCAGCTGATCACATGGTCAAGAAGGACCATCAGCCTAACAATGGATCATTAGCACACTGATGGCTGTTTACTGTTCACAGGGGGCTGAGTGATACTAGCAATCACAGCATTGTAAGAGGGGGACAATTGAACACAGAGGCTCCACCCCTGTTTAATTATGGACGATTTCTTTTCACAAAGATGGCCTCCTTTACTCCTCTCTCAAACCATCGTTCCTCTCTATCCAGGATGTGCACATCTTCATCCCTGAAAGAGTGACCGCTGGCATGGAGATGAGTGTAGACCACAGAGTCCTGGCCTGATGATGTTGATCTTCTGTGCTGGTCCATCCTTTTGGCCAGTGGCTGTTTAGTTTCCCCGATGTAAGACTGATCACCCTCCTGACACTGAACAGCATACACAACATTACTCTGTTTGTGCCGGGGGACTGAATCTTTGGGATGAACCAGTCTTTGCCGTAATGTATTTTGGGGTTTAAAAGCCACTGGGACGTTATGTTTTATTTTAATTTATTTATTCATTTCAAATTAAAAACACAATAACAATTTCAAAACAAGAGAGTAAAATACCAAGCATAAAATGAAAGGCAGCAGAAGAAGAAAAATCTTATTATTTCTGCCCCTTCTTAAACAAAATCAATTCAAACAATCAATTCAATCAGTAATCATCTATAAATAATACAACAAAATTACATAACTGATCACAATTTTTCCATTTATATTTCGTTTGATATTAACTAACTTAAATCAATATGTATCTCTTCAACAATATGTTCTTAATCTTTTTCTTAAATATAAACATTGACTTTGATTTTTTTACATCGTCATCCAAACTATTCCAAAAACCTATTCCCTGTACTGAAGTAGACCTACCCCTTAAACTAGTCCTATACTTTGGTTTCACAAAAATATCTGTTCCCTTTAGATAATAACTTTTCCTTTTCACAAAATATGCTTGAATGTTCGAGGGTAGTATATAATTCTGAGCTTTATACATAAGTAGGAGAATATTATAATCCACCAGATCATAAAACTGAAGTAATTTCAATTTATAAAATAAAGTAGTTGTAGGATGACAGTAATGTTTTCTTGTTATAATTCTTATAGCTCTTTTCTGTAACACAAAAATAGGCTTAGTTATAGTTTTACAAGCTGTTCCCCAAACATCAACACAGTAAATTAAATGCGGGACTATAAAAGTATTGTACAGCAAACACAAAGCATTATCATTCAAAAGATCCCTTACTTTATACAGTACTGCCATGGACTTAGATATTTTAGTTTTTACAAAAGTTATATGTTGTTTCCATGACAGTTTATCATCAATAATTACACCCAAAAACCTTACCTCTTTCACTCTACATATCTCAACACCATCAAGTTTGAAAGGAAAATCCACAGTTATCTTTTTTTTTTTACTAAATATCATAAAATTAGTTTTAACAACATTCAATGATAATTTGTTTAATTTAAACCAAGTTTGTATTTTAACAAACTCCATCTTCATCAACTCAAACATCTGTTCCAAGTTTTTACCCGAACAAAAGAATGTGGTATCATCAGCAAATAAAACACATTTGAGGATACCAGACACCTCAATTAAATCATTTACGTATAAAATAAACAACTTAGGTCCAAGAACTGAACCTTGAGGTACTCCACATGAGATACTGCATAGATTAGAGCTTACATCATCAATCTGTACAAACTGTTTTCTGTCCCTCAGATAATATCCACTGTAGAGCTGGACCTCTAATACCATATTGTTTCAATTTTTCAAGTAGAATGGTGTGGTCAATGGTGTCAAATGCTTTTTTTAAATCAACAAATATGCTTATACAGTGTTGTTTTTGATCTATCGCTGTAGTAACTTGTTCTATCAACTCCATAAGAGCCATGGATGTTGAATTTTTTGATCTAAAACCATACTGACTATTACTTAAAATATTATGTTTATCAAGAAATTTATCTAATCTGGACACAAATAATTTTTCAAGAATTTTTGAAAATTGTGGCAACAAAGATATAGGTCTATAGTTGCTAAATATACATTTTTCACCATTTTTAAAAAGAGGAACTACCTTAGCTATTTTCATTCTGTCAGGGAATATTCCTTTTGAAAATGATAAATTACAGATATATGTGAATGGCTCAATAACATGACCCATTATTTCTTTCACAACCATCATATCCATGTCTTCACAATCTTTAGATCTTTTGTCAGTAAATTTTTGAACTACCTTCATTATTTCTTCTTTATCAGTTCCATCTAGAAACAGACTGTTTACACAACCATTGATTAAATAACTCACATTTTTATCCACTTTAGGAATTGAAGCTGCAAGATTAGACCCAACATTTACAAAATAATTATTAAATCCATTAACGATTTCATTTTCATCATGAATTTCCACATGTTGCCCTCATGTCACCACTACATTTGTGTAATAATTCACTATAATATTCTCTCTTATGTTTCCTTATAATCCCTACTAATTTGTTTTTATACTTTTTATATTTGTCTTCAGCCTCTTGAGTTCTGGATTTCAGGAAACAAGAATACAGATAATTCTTTTTTTTACATGCGTTTCTCAATCCTTTAGTCATCCATGGATGATCAACTGTATTTTTCTTTATATAATTTTTTTGCACACAATTTTTTTATACAATACTTCAAGAATCTTCATAAACTTATCATAAGATTTGTTCACATCGTCTATATACACTTCTTCCCAATTTTGTTTAGGTAAGTCATCTTTAAATTTATCTAATGCTTTTTTGGATGTGTTTATTTTATTCTTTCTTATAAGTGTTTTTGATACGCTGACATCGTTTTTATAAATAGTGAACACTGGTAAATGATCACTAATATCAGTCATCAAAATACCACTCACCATATCACCATCTGTTATATTTGTGAAGATATTATCAATTATTGTTGCACTTTGAGTTGTGATTCTTGTTGCATTTGATATTAACGGATACAAATTTGAACTATACATTGAATTTATGAATGTACTGATGTTATTTGAATCAGTTTTATTTCCTAAATCAATATTGAAGTCTCCACATAAAAAAACTTTTTTATTTCTGCTCTTTACTAGTAACTCCAATATTTTATCGGTAAACATTTCTATCTTTGAGCATGGTGATCGATATACACAACTTATTATAATGTTTTTTCCATTTTTATTGATTATTTCTATTGTTATCATTTCCATCATATTATCAACAATTGTAGACATTTCACTGATTACTTTACATTTTATTTCCTTATCTATGAATAGAGCCACTCCTCCACCTTTTTTATTTTTTCTGTTCATATGATGTAATTCATACCCTTCAACATATGCACTATCCATATTCTCATCATTAAGCCAAGTTTCAGATAATGCTATTATTTTAAAAGTTTTATTTAATCCTTTGAAATAATCTAATATGTAGGATATATTTGCATTTATACTTCTACAATTCAGGTGAACAATAGAAAGACCTTCATCTGCCATGTTTACATCGTTAAACTGGTCTTCATTATAATATTTACTG